GTCTCCTCGGCTGAGATCGACTTTTTGCACGCAGCGAAGTGTGCCAACTTCGTCAGCCTGTCAACGACGACCATCACCGCGTCGTTACCCCCAGGGTTCGAAGGTAACCCTGTGACGAAGTCCATGGTAACCTGCTGCCAGGCGCGCTCGGGCGGTGGTATCGGCTGCAATTGACCCGCCTTCCGCTTCCTCGAGCTCTTCATCACCTGACACGTGGGGCACGAGCCCACGTGCTGCTGTACGTCGGTCAACAGCTCCGGCCAGTAATAATACCGCTGCAGTTGCTGTCGCGTTTTTTCTACCCCAAAGTGTCCCGAGGTAATTCCGTCGTGTGCCTCCTGCAGTAGCAGCTCCCTCAGTAGTGAGTACGCAGGTACCCAGATGCGGTTGGTGCCTGTTTTTACGTAATAAACTCCTTTAGCTTCTGCCAGTTGCTGTGAGTTTCCAGTCGTGAAAAATGGGTCGGTGCGGTATCCGTGGGTGAATAGGCCTGTTAACAGCGGGTTGGTCTGGGCGAGTAGGATGGCGTGGAGTTGGGCGGTAGGGCGGGTGAGTGCGTCGGCGATGTTGGATGCGCCTTTCTTGTACGTAACCGTGTAGTGGAAGTTGGACTCGAGGTAGTCCAGCCAGCGAATTTGTCGCGGATTGAGATTTGGTTGGGCGCGTAAGTACTGTAGTGATCAGTGGTCTGTCCGTACTGTCACGTCGGCGCCAGTCAGGTAACACCGCCAAACCTTGAACGCGTGCACGATCGCCAACATTTCGCGGTCGTGTATCGGGTAGTTGCGTTCGGGCGGGTGCAGTTTGCGGGACTCGTACGCGATTGGCTGGAGGCCGTTCCCGAAATCCTGCAACAGTACTGCTCCCACAACGATGTCACTTGCGTCAGTGACGAGCTCGAACGGACGGTGTGGATCTGCGATGTGAAGCACGGGCGGTGAGCACAAAATGTTTTTGAGGGACGAGAAGGCAGCTTGCTCTTTCTCCCCCCACGTGTACTCAACCCCCTTCCTCAGCAGGTCAGTCAACGGGGCAGTCAGCTTCGCCATGTCGGGGACGAACCGGCGCACGTAGTTGACGAACCCCAGAAAACTCTGCAACTCTGTCAAGTTGGTCGGCGCGTGCCAAGCCTGAATCGTCGCAATTTTCTTCGGGTCTATTTCCACTCCTGCGGCTGAAATAACGTGTCCCAAAAACTCCAGACGGTCCTGTAAAAATTCACACTTAGACGCTTTTGTCAGTAGGCGGTTCTCACTCAGTATTTTAAAAACTGCTTCGATGTCCTGTAAGCGCTGTGCTCTGTCAGGGCTGTAAATCAGTATGTCGTCCAGGTATACTATGACGCACTTATCTAAGAGTGGGCGGAAAGCTTCGTTCATGGTCATTTGGAAAGTGGCGGGGGCGTTGGTCAGTCCGAAGGGCATGACGGTGTATTCAAAGGATCCGTAGCGTGTTCGGAATGCGGTTTTAGGGCAGTCGGGCGGATTGACACGAATCTGATGGTAACCCCCCCGGAGGTCGATTTTCGAGAAAACCCGGGCTGTGCGCAGTTGGTCGATCAGTTCGTCGGCTCGTGGGATGGGGTAACGGGATTTGATGGTAACCCTGTTCAGTGCTCTGTAATCGATGCACATGCGAAATCCCCCGTCTTTTTTCGGTATAAACAGTATCAGTGCTGCGAAAGGCGACGAACTAGGGCGAATGAACTCCTTCTCGAGCAGGTAATCGAGCTGCTTCCTCAGTTCGTCCAGTTCGGGCTGGGTCAGTCGGAACTGTCGCTGTACTGTTGGCTGTGCCCCCGGTTCAAATTCTATTCTGTGATCGTGCGGTCGCTGAGGTGGCAGTCCCGTCGGTAAGTCGTCCGGGAAAATGTCGCTGTACTGCTTCAACAGTGCTGCCAGGTCACTCGGTACGTCGGTCAGCAGTTTCTGCAAATCCCCTCCCTTGTCTGCTGCCTCGGCTTCCCGAATGTCGACCGCGTACACGTCAGCTCCCGCCGCTACGGCGCGTTTCATCGTGATCGCGTTGACACGCACCGACGAAGACTCAGGCGAGCCCCAGCGAGGTAGGGCGATGTGGTTACCATTCACTCGCACGGTGCAGTCACCCGTCGTCCAGTCGATTCGCGGATTGTGTCGTCGCAACCAATCACGCCCGAGTAAAATATCGGTTCCGTCGAGGGTCGTTGCGAGCATTTCTTGGCTAAATGTGAAGTTACCCCCGCATCGAATCCGAACCCGGTCTACGCGTTCCCGTATTGCCAGCGGCGTGCCGTCTACCAGTCGTGCGTCGATCTCAGGTAAACATCTGTCCAGTGACAGTCGCAGTTTTCGTGCTGTAGCAGTGTTGATGAGGCTGTGGCTGGCTCCCCCGTCTACGAAGATTTTAACTAAGTCCGTCCCGATTTTCCCACTAAGCAGTATAGGGCTGTCTACCGTAGTACCCTCCTTATTCGGCCGGGTGTGGTCGATTGCGTGAACCGGCACAATCACTCGGTGAGGGTCGGTTGGGTCGGGCGAGCGGCGTGACCTGTCAGTAGAGGGCCCGTCTGCTACTGACTCCCAGCGTTTCCCTGCTGCTTGGTCTGTTTCTGCTGCTCAGCTTCCCCCTTTCCCTTAGCGTTTTCCGGGCATTCGCTCTTGCGGTGTCCCGGCCGATTACACGCGAAGCAGCGCCCTTTGAACGGTGCGGCAGCGGCATTCGCGGCGACGGCACGTATCGTAGCGCCCTCGTTCGTCCCACGAGACCGATGTCCCCAGTTGCTGCTACTGCCGTAGGACCCCGGTCTCGGTCGGCGGAAGAAGTCGAGCTTCTCCGCCATAGCGAGAATCTCCTGAAAATCGGTGACGCCGCGAAGCTGAATTTCTTGAGCGATGTCGTGCTTCAGGCCGCCGATGTAGCGGTCGATGCGCTCGCTCTCATGCATGTAGCCCACTTGTTCGCATAGCGCCAGAAACCCGCTGGTGTAGTCCTGGACGGAACCGAGTTGGCGCCAAGTGCGGAGCTTCTGTCGCGCCGCGATCGAAGCCGCAATTGGCTCAAATCGAGCGTGCAGACCTGCACACCACGCGTCCCACGTGCGATATTGGGGCACCTCCACGAAATACGACGGCGCCCAGGGTCCGGTTTGTCCTTTCCGTGTCGGTAGAGTCGCGTAGTCATTCGGCTTCGTGACGATGACGCGCCACCAGTCCATGGCGGGTCCTCGCAGCAGCGACACGGCGTAGCGAATTTTCGCCGAATCCTCCGAGACGTAGTTGGCGTCGAAAAACACGTTCATCGTGAACAACCACGCCTGAACGGTAGGACCACCCCGTTGACTCGGGTCAAAGCATGGCGGACGCTGCGGCTTCAGCGGCATCGGTGACGGCAGTCCCGAATCGTGGGTCGGTGCCGAAATCGTGACGCGATTGTGCTGACCTGAGGTCGTTTTGCAGGGACGAGCATTCTGCCGTCAGCGTCGCAATTTCCTCGGCGCTCTCGCGGATTTGTCGCAGCAGATCGTTCAAATGCTCCCGCGTGAGAGTCGTGACGTCTATGTGTTCGGCCATTTCGAAGGACGTCGGCTCGTCTTAGTCTAGGCGCAGTCGTGGCTGCACGCGTTTACGAGAGAACGCGAGGACAGCGGCTCCTGGGTGCTAAGGTACGTAAGTCCCTTCGAGTGAAAAATCAAAAGTTGATTTCCTGGGGTGCGGAGATGCGCGGTCCGAAAGAAAGGGGCTCTGAATACCAAGTGTTACGGGTGTAATGAATCGAAGTAGCGAGAATTGCACTAAGGTGTCAAACGAGTACAAAGATGTGAGCGAAGGCATGAGCGAACATTTATATGCGAAGCATGCAAACGGTAACGCGGTGCGTGCGAGCTAGCTAGTGCTATGCTGGCAGCGAGGCTCGGGCTAGTCCCGAAGCGTAGGCCGACACGGCCGGGCCAGCAGTGCGAGGTTTGGTGAAGCAGTGCGCGCGAAGTCGGCGAAGTTCCGTTAGCAGTAACGGGCGAACAACGGCTGTTGCTGTACGCGATGTAGTCGGGCTCCGTAAGGAATACCGAGAAAATTCCTTACACTTGATTGCAAAAGATTTCGGTGGTACGGTACTTCTGAACACTTAGGAACTTTCTTTCTTCTATGAGAACAATCAAGACAGCCATTTTGAAGCCATGTGAAGAAAGGGACAGTAGGATAGAATCATTCTTTCATCCATGGCCAGCTCAATTGAAGGAGACTCGAAGGCTGTCCACCACTTTCTCCGACCTGCATGTGTCAGCATGGGTTGGAACATTCAGTATAACAGGAGAAGGTAAGCTAGATATCTGGCAGCATGTGCTACACTCTGAGCAGTAGGCAGCACGTACACTACAGTTTGAGCTGATGGGCATGCAAGGGTCATTTCTTGCTAACACCCCATCTCTCCTTCACAGCTTATTTTTGAGGCATCTCAGAAGTGGGAATCATTCCTACCACCAACCCAACCCATGTCACCTACCCCTGCCGTTCCCCCAGTTCACCAGTCGTCATGACATGCACCAATCCTTTTACCCTCTTACCGCCTACCACTCCACCACCCTACCCGTCTACCGCGCTGCCACTCACTCCATCGTCCTCCCATTCGGGAAGAGATCAGAGTCCTCGCGGTGTGTGTATCATGCGGTCATCTGTGATGGCTCAGAAGATCCGTCCACCTAAAGGGGATCCATGCCCTCCTATCCCTCCTATCCTCTTCCACCTAATCAGCCCACCAGTCCTCCTGCGGCATGCGCCCTCCGCCCTCTATGCCCTCAAAGGCCATTCCTCTGTCCTTCTATCCCTCTACCCCCTCTCCCTCTCTAACCCTCTACCCCTCTATACCACTGCAGCGGAGTGACAGCGGACTTGGCCTTGGCAATAGCCCGAGCCTCTATCATGGGGATATACAGCTCGTCCTTGCCCCTCCTATTGCACCCCTCTATCCCTCTACCCCACAACCCATGTAGCTCTGCCCTCCTCCACCCGCCCCCAACTCACCAGTCCTCCTGCGGCGTGTGCCCGGCCCCCTCCAGCACCCGGAGAGTGACTGATGAAGAGTTGGTCTTGGCAATGGCCTGGGCTTCTGTGATGGGGATGTATGGGTCGTCCTTGCCCCATGCGATCACTGTTGGCACCGTCCAGCTGTGCGGTGAGGTGCAGTGCGGTGGAGAGGATGACAGAGAGGTGCACGGGGAAGTGATGAGGGGGGTTAGTGAGGCAGTGTGACGTGACACTGGCAGGAGAGAAGGAAGGAAGAGGTGGAGAGGAGAGGAGGAGAGGAGGAGAGGAGAAGAGGAGGAGAGGCGAGAGGTGAAGAGGAGGAGAGGAGGAGAGGGGGAGAGGAGAAGGGGAGGAGAGGTGGAGAGGAGGAGAGCAGAAGGGGAGGAGAGGAGTAGAGGAGGAGATGAGAAGAGTGGAGAGGAGGAGACATAAAGAGGTTGCTTGATTGCAGAATGGCGTTGCACAAGTACCCACCACACGTGCATGGTCTCACTCTGCCTTGCTGTCCAAATCGAATGGCGGGAGGAGCATCATGGAGTAAGAGAATGAGTGGTTGGATGCGTGCGCGGGAGGAGCCGAGAGGAGAGGAGAGGAGAGGAGAGGAGAGGAGAGGAGAGGAGAGGAGAGGAGAGGAGAGGAGAGGAGAGGAGAGGAGAGGAGAGGAGAGGAGAGGAGAGGAGAGGAGAGGAGAGGAGAGGAGAGGAGAGGAGAGGAGAGGAGAGGAGAGGAGAGGAGAGGAGAGGAGAGGAGAGGAGAGGAGAGGAGAGGAGAGGAGAGGAGAGGAGAGGAGAGGCGAAAAAGAGGAGGAGAAGAGAGAAGAGACAATATACCTAGAGGAAGAGAGCGCGTTTTGAATCCTCTCCCCCAGCTGCTTGGGGTTGGCCTTGCGGGCCGTCTCCAGGAGAGCTGGGGACAGCAGAGCGCGCACGAGGGGCGAGAGGGGCGAGAGGGGCAAGAGGGACGAGAGGGGCGAGAGGGACGAGAGGGGCGAGAGGGACGAGAGGGGCGAGAGGGACGAGGAGGGAGGGCCGAGAGGGGTGAGAGGGGCGAGGAGGGTGGAAAGACGGAAGACACAAGAGGTGTGGTGTGACTGAGATGAATGGGGAGGGATGGCATTGCATGTGCTTGGGGCATGGAATGGCATGTGCTTGGGGCATGGCATGTGGCATGTGGCATGTGGTTGCGGCATGGCATGTGGCATGTGGTTGCGGCATGGCATGTGGCACGTGGTTGCGGCATGGCATGTGGCATGTGGTTGCGGCATGGCATGTGGCATGTGGTTGCGGCATGGCATGTGGCATGTGGTTACGGCATGGCATGATTGGTTGGTGCATGGCTTACAGAATCCGGGCTCTCCGCTGTCAAGGTAAGGCAGGCGATACACGTCTGCATTGTCCAACTCGAGAGAGTAGCTGCGAGTGATGGGAAGGCAGCGGCAGGTGGACAAGCAAAAACAGATGGGGAGGTGAGGCGTGAGTGGGCGAGCGAGTCAGGGAGTGAGCGTGTTTTGAGACGTCTCGAAAAACAAAAACAGATGGGGAGGTGAGGCGTGAGTGGGCGAGCGAGTGAGGGAGTGAAGGAGTGAGCGCGTGAGGGAGTGAGAAAGTAAGCGAGGTAGTGAATGGGCGAGGACGAGAGGGATGGATGGAGGGAGGGACGCATGAACAAACGGATGGATGGACGGAATGGATGAGTGATTGGTTGCATGCTTCAATCACAGCCTTTTCTCCGCTCTGCCCTCGTTTCCACGCTCCCACTCTCCCCACTCACAACCCACCCTGCACCCTTCCCGCCCTGCACCCTCCCATCCTGCACCCTTGCGCCATGCACTCACGGGCTGCCCTTCTCGATGAAGCGCTCTGCCAGCACGGCGTTCTGGCACTGGAACTCGCCCACGAAGGGCAGTCTGGGGGTGCAGGGGGACAGGGAGAAGGGGAGGGAGGTAGAGGGCGAGGAGACAGAGGGATGGCACAGAGTGTACTGTGAGGAGACAGAGGGATGGCACAGAGTGTACTGTGAGGAGACAGAGGGATGGCACAGAGTGTACTGTGAGGAGACAGAGGGATGGCACAGAGTGTACTGTGAGGAGACAGAGGGATGGCACAGAGTGTACTGTGAGGAGACAGAGGGATGGCACAGAGTGTACTGTGAGGAGACAGAGGGATGGCACAGAGTGTACTGTGAGGAGACAGAGGGATGGCACAGAGTGTACTGTGAGGAGACAGAGGGATGGCACAGAGTGTACTGTGAGGAGACAGAGGGATGGCACAGAGTGTACTGTGAGGAGACAGAGGGATGGCACAGAGTGCGTTTGGGCACTGGTACTTGCCTACGAATGCCACTCTGGGAAGTTAAAAGTTAGAGAGAGAGGGAGGGAGGGGGTGAGGAAGGAAGCAAGGAAGAGGGAGAGAGATGGCAGACAGACACGTATGAGAGGAGCGAGGCTGAGCAGCATAGCGTTCAGGCGCGGAGCGCTGAGCACTTGATCGCACCTGGTCTGTTGAGAGCACCTGGTCTGTTGAGAGCACCTGGTCTGTTGAGAGCACCTGGTCTGTTGAGAGCACCTGGTCTGTTGAGAGCACCTGGTCTGTTGAGAGCACCTGGTCTGTTGAGAGCACCTGGTCTGTTGAGAGCACCTGGTCTGTTGGGAGAGCACCTGGTCTATCGAGAGCACCTGGTCTGTTGAGAGCACCTGGTCTGTTGAGAGCAACTGGTCTATCGAGAGCACCTGGTCTGTTGAGAGCAACTGGTCTGTTGAGAGCACCTGGTCTGTTGAGAGCACCTGGTCTGTTGAGAGCACCTGGTCTTTTGAGAGCACCTGGTCTGTTGAGAGCAACTGGTCTGTTGAGAGCACCTGGTCTGTTGAGAGCAACTGGTCTGTTGAGAGCACCTGGTCTGTTGAGAGCAACTGGTCTGTTGAGAGCAACTGGTCTGTTGAGAGCAACTGGTCTGTTGAGAGCACCTGGTCTGTTGAGAGCACCTGAGCCCACTCGGCTTGTTGTTGACTGAACACCTGAGGCTACCTGTTCTGCTGAGAGCACCTGAGCCCACCTGGTCTGTTGAGAGAACCTGAGCCCACGTGGTCAGTTGTTAACTGAACTCCTGAGCCCACCTGGTCTGTTGGGATCACCTGAGCCCACCTGGTCTGCTGGGATCACCTGAGCCCACCTGGTCTGTTGAGAGAGCCTGAGTCCATCCGGACTGTTCAGAGAGCCTGAGCGCACCTGGTCAGTTGTTAACTAAACACCTGAGCCTACCTGCTCTGGTATGAGCACCTGAGCTGCTGGAAGATATGGGGCAGGGGTGAGGAGGGGGAGAGCGGTGGGTTGAGAGCACCTGAACTACCTGGTCTGCTGTGAGCACCTGAACTACCTGGTCTGCTGTGAGCACCTGAACTACCTGGTGGGATCACCTGAGTTGCTGGAAGATCTGGGGCAGGGGCGAGGAGGGGGAGAGCGGCGTGTTGAGGATGGCGAGCCCCTTGAGGCGGCTGCAGTTCTTGAGCGCCCATGTGAGGCCGTAGCTGCCCACCAGATAGCCCTGCATGTATGCACAGTGCAGTGGGAGGGAGGAAGGAGGGCGGGGAGAGTTACAAGGCACACGGGTGAGAATCTGTTATGAGGCGGCTGCAGTTCTTGAGCGCCCATGTGAGGCCGTAGCTGCCCACCAGATAGCCCTGCATGTATGCACAGTGCAGTGGGAGGGAGGAAGGAGGGCGGGGAGAGTTACAAGGCACACGGGTGAGAATCTGTTATGAGGCGGCTGGCGTTCTTGAGCGCCCATGTGAGGCCGTAGCTGCCCACCAGATAGCCCTGCATGTATGCACAGTGCAGTGGGAGGGAGGAAGGAGGGCGGGGAGAGTTACAAGGCACACGGGTGAGAATCTGTTATGAGGCGGCTGCAGTTCTTGAGCGCCCATGTGAGGCCGTAGCTGCCCACCAGATAGCCCTGCATGTATGCACAGTGCAGTGGGAGGGAGGAAGGAGGGCGGGGAGAGTTACAAGGCACACGGGTGAGAATCTGTTATGAGGCGGCTGCAGTTCTTGAGCGCCCATGTGAGGCCGTAGCTGCCCACCAGATAGCCCTGCATGTATGCACAGTGCAGTGGGAGGGAGGAAGGAGGGCGGGGAGAGTTACAAGGCACACGGGTGAGAATCTGTTATGAGGCGGCTGCAGTTCTTGAGCGCCCATGTGAGGCCGTAGCTGCCCACCAGATAGCCCTGCATGTATGCACAGTGCAGTGGGAGGGAGGAAGGAGGGCGGGGAGAGTTACAAGGCACACGGGTGAGAATCTGTTATGAGGCGGCTGCAGTTCTTGAGCGCCCATGTGAGGCCGTAGCTGCCCACCAGATAGCCCTGCAACACGCATGGGTGCGGGGAGAGGACGAGGAGACAATAGGGAGAGATTCTGTTATTGGGCGAAAAGCAACTCCTTGCTGGCAATACAATGCGGTTATGTACAACTCGTAATGAGGCAGATTCATTTTCACACACTGCAATGAGGTTCATAGCAGACTCGTTATAAGGCGAAGGCACTCGCATGCGGCACAGGGGAAAAGGGTTGAGAGACAGCCTTTTATGGAAATGATTGACTCACGTGCACGACAAGATAGAAAGGCTCTGTGACGTTGAAAGCGTTTTGATCGACTCAAAAGTCAGCTCCATGGAAGTCATTGACTCACGTGCACGACAAGATAGAATGGCTCTGTGACGTTGAGAGTCTCCAAGAGGCGGTCCATCTCTTGATGGTACGCATCCTCTGCATGGATGGGAAGGGGGGGAGAGGGAGGCGCAGAGGTGCGGGGTTCAACGCACGCGCTCAGGTGCCTGGCAGCAAGAGGGGTCCATCTCTTGGTGGTACGCGTCCTCTGCATGGAACGGGAGGGAGGGAGAGAGGGAGAGAGGGGGATAGGGTGTGGGTCAGTGCAAGGGTTCAGTCACATGTAGGAAAGCAAGAGTCAGTTCAGCGCAGAGAGGGCGGGGGTCAACTTAAGCTCTCAGTCACATGCAAGGCCGCTACACGTGGCCAAGACCATGTGGCCAAGAGTATGTGGCCAAGACCATGTGGCCAAGAGTATGTGGTCAAGACCATGTGGCCAAGAGTATGTGGTCAAGACCATGTGGCCAAGAGTATGTGGTCAAGACCATGTGGCCAAGAGTATGTGGTCAAGACCATGTGGCCAAGAGTATGTGGTCAAGACCATGTGGCCAAGAGTATGTGGTCAAGACCATGTGGCCAAGAGTATGTGGTCAAGACCATGTGGCCAAGAGTATGTGGTCAAGACCATGTGGTCAAGACCATGTGGTCAAGACCATGTGGTCAAGACCATGGTGTTTGATAGGCGATCTCTGAGTGAACGGGAGAAGATGGGGAGGCGGAAAGGCCAGGTGACGGGCAGGAGAGTATGCGGAAGGGTTGAGCCATGGCCAGGTTGTGAGGGGAGGGAGCAGGCGTTGGTGGGAGTAGGCCTCCTGTGGCTGGCAGGGATGGTGGGAGACGGGGGCTGTGGGTGGCGATGGCGATGGCAACGAGGAAGGAGCACGTGCTTGCAGAGCAGGCAGAAAAGCAGCGAGCACCATCCCCACCACATCCCCACCCCATCCCCACCCCATTCCCACCCCATCCCCACCCCATCCCCACCCCATCCCCACCATCCCCCCGACCCCATCTCCACCATCCCCATCACTTCCACCATCCCCACTCACCAGTATAAGCGAAGTAGTACCCTGGTTGGGGCTTCTCTGAAAAGCCGAAGCCCAGCCAGTCGGGCGCAATGCCTCTGTAGCCCTTCTCCGCCATCTGCTCCGCGCAGGCATGGTGGCAGGGGAAGGGAGTGGGGGAAAGGCCAAGCCAAGGGTTGGATCTCCCTTCTTCGCACTCACACTGTGAGGGAAGTGTGTAAGCCTTTTTTGCCACCTCACTGTGGTGGCATAGAAAGTGGGGATCAAATCTCTGTTTCGTTAGCCCTTTTTTCATTAGTTTTTCTCATTAGCTCTTTTCTCCACTCTGCCGTGGGACAGGATGAACCTTCACAGTGCGTGTGCATGTACGAGCAGACGAGCATGCATGTGTGTGTACGTGCATTCATGCATGCAGCACACTCGCTCACCTGCTGCATCACTTCTCGGAAGCCCCACGACTGTGCCGGTGCGCCGTGCAGGTACACCACCAGAGGATCGCCCGTGTTGCCTGATGTGCGCGGAGGAGAGAGGGGTGGAAGGGCGAGGGCAGAACGGGGTGAAGGATTCCTGCGCAGCCTACACACACTGTGCTAGTGCGCCGTGCAGGTACACCACCAGAGGGTGGCCGCCCCGACCGCTACGCTGGCAGGGCTTCATCTCATTCCATACAAGGGAAGAGGGAGAAGGAAGAGCGCACCCTTTTGCATTGCAAGAGAGACCAAAGGGCGCACGCACTTATTCCCCTGACGAAATATCGGAACTCGCCAGAGAGCATGTACGACCAATTTTTGAGGCGCCTCAACAAAGGGCGCACGCACCTACTTGGCGGACGAAGTATTGGAACTCGCCGGAGAGCATGTACGACCCCATGTGACTTTTGAGTCTTTTGAGTCGACTCAGAAGTCACCTCCTTACAAGGTGAACCAAAGGGCACACCGCACACGCACGCACCTATTTGGCGGACGAAGTATTGGAACTCGCCCGACAGCAAGTACGACCCCATGTCCTTGCCCTTGTCCTCTATCGCCTGCTCAAGGAGCCAAAAGCATGGGGTCGGGAAGGGCATGGGATGGGGTAGGCTGAGTGCAGGGTGCGGGCATGAGACGGGAAAGGGTGAGGGCAAAAGCATGAGATGGCACAGAGAGAGACGGCGGGCGTGAGGGTCAAGAAGGAAGAGGTACGCCAAGGGTTGGTGAAAAGGTGTATGCGCAGTGCACAGCGTTCCAAGAAGCAACAAGGGAAGAGGCGAAAGGAGAGGAGGAGCACAGACAGAATGCCACATATTCATCCCCACACATAGTGGAGCATTCATTTGAGGCACAGTTCTATCCTCCATTCCGGATTTTTTCGCCCATCCCGCCCTGTCCCTGCTCCTTCCCTTCTGCCCCGCCACTCTCTGTCCCGCCAGGGCCTTCCACTAAAGCGCTGTTTCCTCTGAGCCTCCACGACCACCCACTCTCAAATCCTCTCATCCACCCGCTCACTCCCTTCGTCTCCCCTCGACCCTTCTTCCCACGTGTCCCATCCCTTCCCGCCAATGCGCCCGCCCAAATCTCTCCCCCACCCAATGCGCCCAACCCAGGCCCCCCCTCACTAACTGCGCCCCACCCCGGCCTTCCACTGAAACGCCTCAACGTATTCCTCCGACCCTCCCGCCCGCCCCTTCTCCGCCTCGCCTCCAGCGCCCTGGACGGGCGGCAGAGGGGCGGGAGTGTCGAAATCGGGAAAGGTCGGAAAGACTAAGTCCGAGTCGCAAGCTATTCAACAAGTGCTAGCTGCGTACGTGTTCTCCCTTACATACGTTCCTTTGCCTGCCAGGTTGAGAAGCCTCTCAGGTTGAGAAGCCTCTCAGGTTGAGAAGCCTCTCCGCATCAGTCGCCAACCGCGCTCGACCAGGCGACACTAATCATCACGGTGATCTGGCTGACCGGCTGCACACGTTGTCGTTCACACCACTATAATCTGTCGCACGTACGAAATGTAATCCGTCGCCCACTTTCGCACATTGTCGCACAGCGTCACGCGCACGCACCGAGATCATCTGGCCGACGTTGCCGTCCATGGCGGGCGCGTTCTTGAGCTGGATGGCGGAGCGGCTCGACGGGTTGTCCGTCACGAACTCGAAGATGCCCTTGGCGCGCTCCCCCCGCGGCTTCTCCGCGCCGCTGCTCTCCGCATCGCCTGCCGCCGCGCGCACGACGGGGAGGCGGAGGGAGACGGGTCCCTGATCGGGAACAGCGGCGGGAGGGGGGTTGGGCGTACCTGAAATATGAGGGTACTTATACAGTGTACGTTTTTTTTTGGAGTGACGGAAATGTCCGTTCGTGTTGTGGGAAATCAGAAAGATAGGAATGGCAGTCTGGCATTGCCTGCCTGGTAACGCAGCAAATATTTCACGCAAAAGAGTGGCGAAATGTGCACGCATTAGAATCTATTAGTTTCGTTAGAGCACCTGTACGCGATATTGGATAAGAATTCTCACAAAAGCCCACCTTGGACGCGGAATATAGAGGAAGATTCGCGGGCAGGCGGAGCTGGCAGCTGGTTGCACGAGTCGCGAGCGCCATGGCTGAGTGTTGAAGCCGCAGATGTTGGGTCGAATGGAGACTTTGAGAATGGAGCTGCAATGTTGAAGCTATTCTGTTGCTAGCAATGCGGTTTCGAACAACCTAGTTGTACGAAACGCGAATCTCTGGACAGAAGCGGGCTCCAGATAAAGAAAACCTTAGTTCTGCTTTATTAGTTTCCCCTAACAGTCCTCCCACTCAGCACGGGGATTGCAACCAGTGTGAGGTGCACTCACATGGCCGGCATTCCCAATGCCGTATGCTGGCAGGAGTCCAAGGACAGTGCTGATGTGTCACTAACGATACGCGGCTCACACGGTCTGACTGCCGCGTGGCTGTACAATGTGTTCGGATCAAGCGCTTCGGGCAGCCACCGATCACGTGGACGACGGTCCGTCAATCTTGGGAGGTGGTGGTCACGGCTCGGCCAGTGGAATTTGTGATCGACTCTCACCCGATGGTGGGCAGTGCAGCAGGTAGCGGGTACACTAACATAAAACCAAGAAATCAATATATGTATTGTAAAAGTTGTATATTACAAGCACTCCCCTCCTTCACATGCAGCCACTTTGCCCTCTTCCGCAGCTCCTCTTGCATCTTTCAATCCGCTAAGAACACTTGTATCAATTCCAAAGGGCTTCAAAAGCTCTTCTGGAGACGGATGGTCTGCCACTGTCACTTGTCTAAAATCATGAAGCAGCTTGCCACCTTTATCGAACACGAATGTGGCTCCCAATTGCCTGCAGCCAATGCACAGACACAATCACCAAAGCACACACCAAATTGCAATCTCACATAGACGCTCAAGAGAACAAAGCTTGAGAGAAGCATGCACATCAAAACATATCCAAAATTGTTACTAAGAACAAGTGTAGAGAATACTCACAGGCCATCTCCAGCCAGGTCGCCCTTCACATTGGCCGTGTCTCCTAGGGACTTCTTCACTGTCTTGTCAAACAGTAGCTGATACGCTACCTGAGTTGAGGGAGTGCGTGAGGAGGGGGTGGGTGGGGGGGGGGGCAAGGGAGCAAGAGGGGGATGAAGCTCCGAATGATGGGAGTTCAGGCAGGGTGGTGGCACATCACGTGATGCCTTGCTCAAATGGCGGGAACTGGGAAGTTGGGAAGCACTTGGATTGGGTGGGGGGGGGGAAGGGGGAAAGGCGGTTAGCACTTCCAAGGACAAAGTAGCTTCGCCATTAGCCTCTAATCCCTTTAATTTCTGAAGCTTTGCCATCTTCTACATCGGCGCATCATGGCCTTCCCCACAGCCAGGCAAGGCCACGAGTGAGCACCAAGCAGCACACACTCACGTGCTAGCAGGCACACTGTGCACAGCACGCACCTGCCAGAGCGAGATGGACTTGAGCTGCAGGGCTCGGTAGGCGCGCTTGCCATCGTCGATGTACAACTCGCCCTTCCAGTAGCCTCCATCTATGAACTCGTCCATCCCCAGATGGTCCAACCCTGTGGGGATAACAGTGAGGCAGCGAGCAGCAGGGAGGACAGCGAGCAGCAGGGAGGGCAATGAGCAGCAGTGCAGGGAGACAGGGAGCGTGTGAGTGAAACACCCTTCCAGTGGCCCCCATCCACAATCTCATCCACTCCCACATGGTCCAGGTGTGTGGGAATAACAATGCAGGGAGGCAGTGATCCGCAGGGAGGGGGTGGGCAGCAGGGAGGAGCATGGGAAAGATAGGGAGAGGGAGAGAGTGGAAGGTGGAACTGAGGCTGGGAGGCGGAGAGAGTGGAAGGTGGAACTGAGGCCGGGAGGCGGAGAGAGTGGAAGGTGGAACTGAGGCCGGGAGGCGGAGAGAGTGGAAGGTGGAACTGAGGCCGGGAGGCGGAGAGAGTGGAAGGTGGAACTGAGGCTGGGAGGCGGAGAGAGTGGGTCAGAAGCAGGGATTGGGGCCACGGCCCATGGGCGGAAGATAAGCTAGCGAGTGGCTGTCCGTTCAACCCTCCGAACCTCCCTCCATCTCACCCTACCACCCTCCCACCCTCCGATCCTCCCTCCCTCCATCCCACCACCCTCTAACCCTCCGAAGCTGCCACTCTTCACCCACTCACCCAAACACCATCCCACCCTCCCATCCCACCGCACTCTCCCAACCCACCCTCCCGTGGCACCCACCGATGGCAGCGACCTGCACGCCCGCACTGAGGAGGTGGGGGATGGCTTGCCACATGTCCATGGCACCCCACGAGCAGCTGGCCACGTGCTACCTGCTAACCACCATGCACACCCAAGACCTGATGGCACCCTCCCATGGCACCCTCCCATGGCACCCTCCCATGGCACCCTCCCATGGCACCCTCTCCTGGCACCCTCTCCTGGCACCCTCTCCTGGCACCCTCTCCTGGCACCCTCCCATCCCATCCCATCCCACCAACCAATGGCAATAACTCGCACGCTCGCGTTGTGGAGGTGGGGAATGGCGTGTGACATGTCCCTGGCACCTCCTTTTGAGACGTCTCAAATGGCGTGTGACATGTCCCTGGCACCTCCTTTTGAGACGTCTCAAATGGCGTGTGACATGTCCCTGGAACCTCCTTTTGAGACGTCTCAAATGGCGTGTGACATGTCCCTGGCACCTCCTTTTGAGACGTCTCAAATGGCGTGTGACATGTCCCTGGCACACCCGCACAACGACCCGCACGCCCGCGTTGAGCAGGTGGGGGATGGCGCGAGACTTGTCCATGGCTCCCCACTTATGGCACCCTCCCACCCGCTAACCACCCGCCCACGAGGCACTCACCGATGGCAACGACTCGCACGCCCGCGTTGTGCAGGTGGGGGATGGCGCGAGACATGTCCATGGCTCCCCCCCTGCAGATGCGGCAGCCAAAGCGGCGGAGAAAATGAATCACTACGGGCTGGGGGCGAAGAAAAAAAGGCGGAAAGGGGAGGGAATGGGGGAGCGGGAAGGAAGGAATAGGAAGGGGAGGAAAAGCGGGAAATTCGAGGGGGAAGGCACGGATTCGAGGGGATGGGAAGGGATGAGGGCAATGCAGGATGAAATAGGTTGAGAGACGAATGAGGAACTCGAACAGACAACGGATTTGTCGTAAAAAAATGTAATTATGGAGTATGCAGGAGAGGAGAGTCTAGTGTTACGGACGAAATAGAAATCAGATTGTTGCAACGAACCGGACAATAACGCACTCAACCGGCGGGGCAGCCATTTCTCACCTGCGACTCCCAGAAGGACCCTATTTTCACCACCTCGTCGTTTCCAGGCCCCACTATACGCTCAACCGAGACGTCCTTTAACGCAAACGCGATCGCCGTTGAACCTGCTTCTTGCGTGCCAGCTACGGGATTCGACATGGTGGGACCCGCCGCGCAGGTTCCAGAATTTCCGGTGTTGGAATCTACTAGATTCTCAAGATCGGATTGGCTGTCAGGATCTTGACCAGCCGCGGCAGCCGTGTTTCCGCTGTCGGCGAGCCCGCAGTCTGCGCCGCCTTGGAGCGACGTTCCCTCGACAGTCGCAGAACGAACGGTGAGTAGTAACAAGAGGCAGTGAACAAGGAGCGCGCGGAGAAGGAACGTAGGGATGGGATGGAGTGGCGAGCGCGTCGTTCGCGCGAGTGGGAGAGGAATATGGAGTGTTTTCATGGAAATCGTTTCTGAGAATTCTCAAATGTGGAGCTTCGAGGCCACGGTTGATGGGTGAGGGGACGAGCAAAGGGGATCAAGTCGCGCTGTTGGTCGTTAGCGTTGAAAAGAAACAAATGAACGGACAGGCAACGCCCCTCTTCTGGTGTCGTGTCCTTCGCTGGCTAGCATTCCCCCAGCGCTCGCGCTGCGTGTTGTTGTTCGCAAGGTGCTGCGTGGCAGGCCTGTTTGTGGACAACATGGCAGCGAGCCCTTGCAAGACGGAGCTGTTCGCGATAAAACGAATTCGTTTCGCAGTTCGATTGGCCCAAGATCCAATTTGGCGGTAGATCTACAAGAACGCTAATTCCTAGTTCAAAAGAATGTTTTGAAACATATTTAACTGAATCATGATACCACTAGAGCTTCGTACTGCTGACTCGTATAACATTTACGCAACCTACAAGGCACAAGCAAGACGGAACTAAGACCTACTTCGAAGACCTGACCTTAGGAGATGGAGTTCTACAGGGAAGAGTAAATCACTTAGGACTCAGCTGCCTTCTCCTCATCCTTCTTGACAGCCAGCTTCTCAAGCTCCTCAGCTGTTTTCTCCGCCTCCTTGGCCACCTCCTTGGCTGCATCTGTGGTGCCCAGAATTGCTGCCATCTTCTCCTGTGCCTCCTCAAATGCACTCTTGAACTTTTGAGCACCTGGGCAGAAACCAAGGGTAGATGAAAACAAACAAAAGGAGATGAGCATTGAAACCGGGGGTGGGGGTGAGGGAGAGGATGAGGTCTAAACAAGGACGAGTGTGCAAGTAGAAGAGATAACTGAAAGGATTGCATGATGCGTGAACACTGGAGAAATTGGCGATAAAATCAGAGATAAATGCAACAGGTTTGTCACCGTAGTTGAAAAGCGGGCAAAAAAAAAAAAAAACGCGAATCCAGGTAATGACGAGCTAGTACTCACTTTCTGGCGAGCCGAACCGCATGGTGAAAAGCTCCTTCTTCAGCTCTCCGTCAGCAAAGTCTTGTGCGTGCCACACCCATGACTTGTCACTCCCTGCATGCTCCTGAAGCGACATCGACGGTAGCACTGCAGGCAAATGAAAGCACGATACACGGGGGAATGAGTTGAGAATGGTTTTAGACAAGCCGGTTTTCTCTTGAACACGCAGAAAACCAGGAGTGCGAGGCTATTCCTAAAATAGGATAGCAATAAGCGACCAAAAAGAACAACGGTAACCACGTTCCAGCATAGAAGCGGTATTCTTGTGGATTGAGCGCTGGGCAATGAATTCGTGAAAACAAGGACACATGAATGTAACGATGAATGTGCGCATCCGGTCGGGTTGCCCTACCTGTGTGGTTGGCGCAAATCTTCAGCGTTTTCTGCTGTCGCATCAGCAGTCGAACCTTCTTGGTATCCTTGTGCTCCAGAAGCTTTACTTGGCCCACACCCCTCTCTTTCCATTGGTTCCCGTCCTTATCAAACCGGTAAAGCTTGGATTTGCTGGAAAACATAGACATGTCACGTCAAAGAGAAAAGACGGTTCATGATGCTCCTCTCAGAGACTGCGGGAGCTTGAAAGATAGTACGGATCTCGGGCATGTAAACGGCGTACGGAACCTGATCTCAGGTATGTAAAATGGGGGTGTGGCAATTAGGGTTGTCACGGGTTCAGTAAAACACAGGTAACTATTAGCTCGATCAAATCAGTATCGTAGATATCCAACTAACGGTACTGTCGTGCTACAGCACAGTGTTCAATTCCGGTGCTCAAAATGAGCATGTATCGTTAGGTGATGTAAGGACCTCTAGGGTTGTGAACAGCTTACATCTCAAAGAGGACGTTCTCATTCTCTTCACCGGTCGACACGGTAACCTCCTCCAATTTCACAATGGGAGCGATGTGCGCTCCCGTGTCCTCGTCATCGGCCTTGGGAGCATCGTCATCCTCCTCCTGGTGAGCGGGATTTTCGATCTTCTCCTCCTCCGCAGACATGTTCACGGTCTAAAGGCGACGCGAAATAATCTAGGCACAAGGAGAGACGATTCACTGCAATTGACCAGGCCGAAAAAAATCCTGCTCGAAGGCAATATTCTGGGAGCAGATTGATCTTGGCTTGGATGATGGAATGGTCGAATTTGCTGTGTTATGGTTCTCCACTGGAGTTGTTTTTGGGTGGGGTCACTGCAGTGCGAGGGATGGGGTGGTTGAGGAGGAAGGCTGGGGGTGGCGGGTTGGGGGGGTTGGTTGGTGGTGGATGGCGGATGCTTGGAAAGCCATGGGGGTTTGGATGGTGGGCACGGGTGGAAGATTCGATGACCATGTAAAAGATGGATGAATGGTTATGGGAGGCTGGGGGGCATCGGGATGTTTGCTCGGCGCGCGCCGCGTGACAGACACCTGTCAGAGTCGGCATGGGCTTTAGCGAACCCCAAAAGTTCGTACGTCTCTACTCATGAGGGGTTGTGTTGTTGGCTTTTCTGTTTGTTGAAATAATGGGGTTCTGTTCGGAAACCCTCACTGCAGCTGTTGAACAATTTTGAGTTTCTCTATAGCGATGCATCCAGGTCAGCAATTGTCAGCATCCTGGACCACCTGAAATATCATACTCACCACGCGCGAAGTGATTGCGTCTGTACGCTTTTCACATCTGCCCGTTTAAGTAGTACCCAATAAAACCTCAAGATTTCCTCATTCACTGCCCGCTCTGTCGGCAGAGCCAATGGGAAGCGATGCAGCAGGACCTCCACTCTAGCCAAGCATTCCTCGATTTGACTCGACTCGACTCGACTCGACGACCCTGACAACCACCCTCGAGAGTTGCCCGCAAGGGGGCCATCCTAGCAGCAGCAGAAATGGCAGGAGCACCAGCAGCTTTCACATCGCGGCCTTGTTTTCCACTACATTTGGATGCCATGAAGACATGTCAGAATGCAATGCTTTCTTGTAGGGTAGGAACGCCAGTAAAGGCCCACTAGTGTTGCAGGGCCAAGGCACTTCTCTTAGGTTATGTCAATTAGCTACAAGAACGTTCTTCGGGCCATATTGTCCCTTCTTCCGTTCGGCTTGCCTTAGCGCACGGAGCATGTTAGCCTTTCATTCAGGATCGTTCACTGTTTCTGTGCGCTAATGCCGTCCGTTCCTACAACGACAGCACCTTTTTATTGATTCATAATTCCCGCTGGAAGCATCCGCTCATTCCAAGATTCTGTTTGCTCAAACTAGCGGTTCATCCCATCTGTTTTTTCCATCCAATAATCTCCCCAGCACCGTCTCTGATTACCAAGGGGATAGAGTTAATCTAACATACAGTTTGCAACAAAGTAGCGTTTCCTCCCATCAACTTTCCCATCCAGTCATGTTCCTAGCACCGTCTCTGATTAACATTTTACACAGCACATAGAGTTTTTCTAAGATTCTAGAGGTTCTTCCCACCAAAATTTCCTATCCTGTCAACTCCCTAGCACCGTCTCTGATTACCTCTCTAAATAGCGCATAGTTTAATTCTAACATTCTGTTTGCTACAGACTAGCGGTTCCTCCCATCAACTTCCCCATCCAGTCAACTCTTAGTACCATCTGTGATTTTGATTATTCCTAACGCGTAGAATTCTTACTAACAACGTGACAACGATGCCGTCGAAGGGGAATTCATTCACGGAGTACAGTGAGAAGCCGGGCTCGCGGCGGCCCGGCTTGCTGAAGAACCAGCTGCGGCTGGTGCGGCGAGTGATGCCGGACGGCAAGGCGCGCAAGGAGATAGCTCCGGTGGAGGAGCAGCTGTCGTTCGAGAAGGGCTTCTTCCTCTTCATCCGCGCCGTGCAGCTCCTCACACAGGTGGGACTGGCCGCCGCTTCTTCTTTTTAGTTAAGTCTATCCAGATAGATATCTTTCTGCTTGAGATTACCAACTCTCGCGTTTGTGTAGCATGTGGCATCTGATTGGATAGCTCTCTCCGAGAGAGTCACTTTCCGTTGCAATGGCTGTTGCCTCTCAGTGGCTGTCGAATGACTGCGCGACAATGCCTGTGTGTTAGTTCGCTTCAATGCCTGTTGAATGCCTATGTATCGTTGACAGTCCAGTTTTAATCACTTCCTTCATTCGCCTTTAAGTACGAACCAGTTCCGTCCCACTTTTCCGCCGTTTGACGCTGTGTCCCCTCGCGCATGACCGGGCGCGGAGCGCAGAACAACGCAGGCGTGATTCTGGTGGGGCTGGCGGGGCCGTCGGGCGCGGGGAAGACGGCGTTCACGCACAAGGTGGCGGGCTTCATGCCCTCCATCGCCGTGCTCTCCATGGACCACTATAACGTCGCCTCGCGCGTCATCGACGGCAATTTTGACGGTCAGTCAGTCAGTCACCCTCTCGCGTGATTATTGAACCTTGGCACTAAACGCCGTCGTCATCATGGGCGATTACGACGGCTCCTCGGGCGTCGTGGCATTTTCAACGGTCGGTTGTCCTCTCTTGGTCTCAGCTTTCCGAATTTCGTTTGGCTGTCTGAGTTTTGTAGTGCAACGGGGAAACATGAATCATGCTGCATTTTTTAGAACAACTGCCAAGTGATTCAGTGCAGTATGTTCCAGGGCTCCCTATCACATGTGGAGCATGTGTGCGAAATGCTTTTACATTCTTGTGTCGAACCGCATAAAAATGCATACAACCGCATCGAACCACGCTATCAGATCCGCGCATCACGGACTACGAGCTGCTGCTGGAGAACATCGAGGGGCTGAGGCGAGGCGAGGCGGTGCAGGTGCCCATCTACGACTTCAAATCCAGCCAGCGCGTCGGCTTCAGGTGCGCGCGCCCTCGCCTCGTTTATGTTGCAGCGGGTCCAGTCCAACGACGTGCCAAGTCTCACGTACGTGTTGTCATGTTGTCAGGATTGATGCGCGTGCAAATCTGGCTCATCAAGATCGAAAAAAGATGCATCACTTCACGTTTCTTGGCTCCCCAACTCCAGGCAGTCCCCAAGTCGCGCGTCGTCATTCTAGAGGGCATTCACGCGCTCAACGAGCGGTCTGGACGTGCAAGTCCAGCAAGTCCAGCAAGTCCAGCCCGTCCACAACGAGTCACGCGCCTGTCAATCCACGCCCCCTCCTTCACATCCTTGTCATCTCCCTCGTCTCTCTGCAGGGAGCAAGCAGTCCCCAAGTCGCGTGTGATCATCCTGGAGGGCATTCACGCCCTCAACGAGCGGGTGAGGCCGCTGCTGGACCTGCGAGTGGCCATCACGGGCGGGGTGCACTTTGACCTCGTCAAACGCGTGCTGCGCGATATCGACCGGTCGGGGCAGGCGCCTGAAAGCATCATTCAACAAATTTCCGAGACGGTGGGTCAGTGGTGCAAATGGTAGCGGGGGAGGGGGAGAGTGGGGCAGGGTGGCCACGCGCCTGAGAGTATTATTCAGCAAAACTTAAAGAATGTGGATCGGCGGGGCGGAGGGGCACTGCTGCTGGACCTGCGGGTGACGATCACGGGCGGCGTGCACTTTGACCTCGTCAAATGCGTGCTGCGCGATATTGACCGCTCGGGGCAGGCGCCTGAGAGCATCATCCAGCAGATCTCGGAAACGGTCAGTCGGGATTGCGGGTAGAGGGGGGGAAGAGGAGGATGGGAAGGGCAACCTTCCAGGGCTACGTCTCGAGTCGCGTTTGCCTATTGCGTCTGCCGATCGGAATGCATCAACTCGTTGATGCACAACACGTTATTGACCCGTTGCACAATGCACAAGGTATTTCTGTCATTTTCACATGCCGCTACCTTGATTGCCCACCCCGCATGCTCACAGGTGTACCCGATATACAAGGCGTTCATAGAGCCGGAGCTGAAGACAGCACACATTTGCCTGCTTCTCCCATGTGCCGCCCTGCATGCATTCCCTGCATGCATTCCCTGCATGCCCCGCATCCCCCCCCCAGGTGTACCCGATGTACAAGGCGTTCATAGAGCCGGAGCTCAAGACGGCGCACATCCGCATGGTGAACAACTTCAACCCCTTCTCCGGCTTCCAGGACGCCACCTACCTCCTCAAGGTCACCCCTCCAGACCACACCTTCTCCGGCCCTGCTTGCCCTGCCCTGCCCTGCCCTGCCCTGCCCTGCCCTGCCCTGCCCTGACCTGCCCTGCCCTGCCCTGCCCTGCCCTGCCCTGCCCTGCCCTGCCCTGCCCTGCCCGCCCCGCCCCGCCCCGCCCCGCCCCGCCCCGCCCCGCCCCGCCCCGCCCCGCCCCGCCCCGCCCCGCCCCGCCCCGCCCCGCCCCGCCCCGCCCCGCCCCGCCCCGCCCCGCCCCGCCCCGCCCCGCCCCGCCCCGCCCCGCCCCGCCCCGCCCTGCCCTGCCCTGCTCTGCCCTGCCTTGCGGGCCGTTGGTCCGCCTTGCAGCTATTCACGTGTACATCTAATGATTCGTGTGTGCCACACACATACATGGAACATTCCCATCATTCACATCTATCGAGATTTTTCTTGATGAAGAAGCAAGCCTGTGATGTGCAATCCGTGTGACTGCCGCTGGACTGGCCTGCACCATTGCTGAGCCCTCCTGATGCCGCTCCAAGCCCACACCCATGCTCTTTTCCACCCATGCTTGTCCCCTGTGTTCCTATTCCCTTCTCACAAGGCTTATTCCTTCCATTCTTTCTCTCCTCCCCCGTACTCCCCACGTTCCCCTCTTTTTCTTCCCCCCTGGCTTTTGAATGGGAGCGTGCAGTCGCGAGCAGAGGGCGAGGGGTGGGAGGAGCGGGTGAGAGCGGTGCTGGCAGGGGGGCATGCAAGGGAGGAGGTGGAGACGTACGAGATCTACCTGCTGCCGCCCGGAGAGGACAAGGACACGTGCCAGTCATACCTGCGCATGCGCAACCGCGATGGGCGCTACTCGCTCATGTTTGAGGTGCGTGTTGGGAATGAGGAATGCTGAGCGGTAGGTAGGATAGAAGCAGATGTTGCGTGTGTTACACGTTATTATGTGATTGTGTCTTGCAAGAATGTGTCGAGATGGCCGAGTTGGTCTAAGGCGCTGGATTAAGGTTCCAGTCCGAAAGGGCGTGGGTTCAAATCCCACTCTCGACAATTTTTGACTATATTTGCTTATGTGTTTTGAGGTTACACCACTCTCATTAAGGAGGTTGTTTGCAACCATGAAGAATGAATTACTCTTTTGTATCAGTTATCGCTTGGCGGTCCATTCTTGTGACCACATCATCCCTTCCCAAACCTCACTTCTCAAACAGTCTCTTGCAGATGCCACTCCCCTAACCCTGTCCGTCACTCTTTTTGCAGCCATATCACAGTGCGTGAGGACATGCCCTGCATGCTCACCCCCTGGCATCATAGTCACCCAATGTCAGCGTCTGTGTGCATATGCATACCTCGATATCTGCTTCCCCACCCGTCTAGATCCCCCACTCAGCCCACCTCCCCATCCGCTCCTTCCGTCTCTCTCCTCCTCCCTCCTTGACGATGCTAGGGTGCTCGTCTGCTGCCAGTTTCAATCAATCCCTGACCAAGGTGACTTTTGTGTCGACTCAAAAGCCACCTCCCTGTCCACTCCTTCCGTCTCTCTCCTCCCTCCTAGAAGATGCAAGACTGCTCATCGGCTGCCAGATTCAACCCCCGACCGCTTCCCCTCCTGTCCCCTCATATTGCTCCCCCACTTCATCTCTCCCCGCTCCACGTCTCACTGGCAGGAGTGGGTGACGGACGGCTCTTGATAATCACACCGTGCATCATCTTCCGCGTGCCAGTGCGGATGCCATGGGTTTGGTGGCGCTGGTATACAAACTAGCACACATTGCTCACCAAACCTTCTCTTTCGCCCTCCCCCCAACGCCCCGTCACCCCATCCCCCCTTCTCTGGCAGGAATGGGTGACGGACGGTCCTTTTGTAATCACACCGCGCATCACCTTCAGCGTGTCGGTGCGGCTGCTGGGAGGGCTGATGGCGCTGGGGTACGAGATAGCCCACATCGTTCACCGCGAGTCCATCGTGCTCAAAGAGCAGGGCGAGCAGGGGGGTCAGGGAGAGGCCAGCAGCATGCTTTCAGTCAAGATTGACAAGATTGAGCAGCTCAAAGCCACCTACGTGCAGGTGGGGAGATTGAGGGAGGGTGGGTAAGGGGGGAGGGTGGGGGAGGGAGGGGAGGGTGGGGGAGGAGGGGTAGAGGGAGTGGGACAGGGCGAGGCCAGCAGCATGCTTTCAGTGAAGATCAACAAGATTGAGCAGCTCAAAGCCACCTACGTGCAGGTGGGAGGAGGGAAGAGGAGAGGGGGTAGGGGAGGGAGGTATTTCCGGAGCTGTGGCGAGAGTGAGTGTGTCTAAGCTGAATGATACTGCTTACGGTCCCAAACCTGTGTGATCTATCCACGCCAGGGTGAAGCTTGGTTGAAGCCTTTTGAGGCGCCTCAAAGTGTGTCTAAACCGAATGATGCTGCTCACCGTCCCAGACCCGGGTGATTTAACCATGGCCGGGGTGTAGCTTGTTAAATCACGGGCGAATGGTTCAAACCGGAGTGATCTAACCATGGCCGGGGTGAAGCTTGTTAAATCACGGGCGAATGGTTCAAACCGGAGTGATTTAACCATGGCCAGGGTGAAGCTTGGTTGAAGCCAAGAGGAGGTCCGAAATGACTGGGAGTTCAAACCAGCTTCATGTTCTGTACCTGTGCAGGTGACAGGCAAGGACCGCAAGCGCGTGAAAGTGGCATGCTAAAGAGCCGCATGGTGTGCTTGTCTGTTGTGTCTGCTGGTCTCTTGCTGTTCTGTGCCGTTGCATGCAGGTGATAGGTAAGGACCACAAGCGCATGAAGATGCCAAAGAGCCACATGCTGTACTTGTCTGTTGTGTGCCTTTGCGTGCAGGTGATAGGCAAGGACCGCAAGCGTGTGAAGGAGGTGGCGGAGCAGCTGGGCATGGAGGGGGAGGGGGGGTACATCTCCCATCCTTATATCGAGGATATCAAGCTGCACCACCTCACTCAAGAGATTCAGAGCAACCAGGTAGTCATGGGTGCACTAATCGACATGCACGCAACCATGCGTGCTTATCACTCACTCTTTCATCCACGCTTGGGTTTCTTTGGCCGCCCTTCTTCCTTCCCAACGTCCATTCTTGCATCACCACGACCCACCTTCCCTCTCCCGTCTCCCATCCCCCACACTCTTTGTCAAGCCGTCCTCCTACTCCTCCAGCTTCTCAAGGCTCCTCAAGGCTCCCTTTGCAGCATGGGTGGGCAGGGCTGGGTGTGGGGTTGAAGTTGCTCACCCATGCTCCTCCAGCTCCTCAAGGCTCCCTTTGCAGCATGGGTCTGCAGCATGTGTGTGCAGCATGGGTGTGCAGCATGGGTGTGCAGCATGGGTGTGCAGCATGGGTGTGCAGCATGGGTGTGCAGCATGGGTGTGCAGCAATGGGTGTGCAGCATGGGTGTGCAGCAATGTGTGTGCAGCAATGGGTGTGCAGCATGGGTGTGCAGCAATGGGTGTGCAGCATGGGTGTGCAGCATGGGTGTGCAGCATGGGTGTGCAGCATGTGTGTGCAGCATGGGTGTGCAGCAATGGGTGTGCAGCAATGGGTGTGCAGCATGGGTGTGCAGCATGGGTGTGCAGCATGGGTGTGCAGCAATGTGTGTGCAGCATGGGTGTGCAGCATGGGTGTGCAGCATGGGTGTGCAGCATGGGTGTGCAGCATGGGTGTGCAGCAATGTGTGCATTCACGGCCCACTGTCTGTTTCCAACTCCTCTCCCCCCCACTCACCCCTTCCTCCCGACCACCCTCTCACACCTGCCTCCCATCCCCTCAGCCGTCCCCCCTCTCCTCCAACGCGCTCAAGGCTCGTCTGCGTATATCAGACGACATTCTGCCCTTCAGCCCCCCCGTGGGCCCGCGCTTTGCCTCGCCTACCTCCTCCTCCTCTGCTGCTGCTGCCTCTTCCTCCTGGTCGGCAGGCGGCCACAAGCTCGACAAGACGTGAGATGCGCGCAGGGAGGGAGGGGGATCACGGGCAGGGAGTGGGGGAGGGGCAGGGAGGGAGGTGAGGGGGTGAAATTTTCAATAAGTTTGATAGAAGTCATGCTCTAAAAGTGGGGAACAAGTCTAGATACAAGAGATTGTGAGAGTCCGGGGTGCATTTGTTGTCTGTTTTTGTCATCCTTCCTGTTCCCCTCCACCCTCTCCCTTCTCCTCCACACCCTATTCCCAATCCAATTTGGGCTGTTGTCGCTCCTCCTCTCTTCTTCGCTCCTTCTACAATTCGCATGTGCTGACATCTACCATCCTATCTCCCTGCCTTCCCTTCCCTCTCTACTCTCTTTACCCTCCCTACCCTCCCTACCCTCCTCACCCTCTCTACCCTCCCTACTCTCACTGCCCTCCCTGCCCTCCCTCCCTCCCTACCCTCGCTGACCACAGCAAGAGCCTAGCGTCCATGGGACAGGGAGACCCGTCTCCAGACAGGTGTGTGCCTTACCACCACCGTTGCTGGGTGTTGTTGCTGGCTTTTCGTTGCTGTGACTGATTGGGTGTGTTGCTTTTACGCCTCTTACACGTTCTCAGTCACACTGCCATGCCTGCTCCTCCTGGGTGTGTTTGATCCAACACAAAACGTCTTACTTCACACACGAATCTTGTTCTAGCCTAGTTCTTTGCCTGCAGCACGATTCATCTTTTCCATGTTCGCTGAGCCATATGAGTGCGACTTTTGAGAATTCTCAAAAGTCACCCCCCTCCTCCCCGCCGCTCTCTTCTCCCCTCATCGCGGTTGCTCTTGGTCTCGCCTTTATTTCTCACGTACCGTCCCGTCCCCCTCCACACGCACTCACAGCATGCCAGCCCCCACAGCCGCTTTAGCCAAGGCGGAGATCAGCACCATGCGCTCTGCCTGCTCCGCCACTGCCCTGGAGCTGCTCAAGCTGGATGCTAGAGGGAGCCCTGGGGAAGGGGGGGAGGGCGAGGCTGAGCAGGGGCGGCGGGCGGTGGAAGCAAGCCCTGCAGGGCGTGGTGGTGGTGGGAGGGGAACGTCTCGCACTCGTCAAGGGAGGGGTGCTGACGAGCAGCAGGAGGGGCAGCAGCAGCAGCAGCAGCAGGCGCCAGTGGTGCTGTCGGCATCGGCGGTGGCGAAAATGGTACTGTGGCTGCAGCATAGCAGCATTGCATAGCTGCAGCATAGCAAAGAGCACACTGCTGTATCCCACGTACTGATCTCCCACTCTTCTCCCCTCTTCTTGCCCATCTCCTTTCAAAGCCCACCCCACCCCTCACCGCCACGTCCTCCTGTCCATCCGCCCTATCCTTTGGTGTGCAGCTGCGCAGCAACGAGGTCGTGGAGGGCAAGCTAGTGAGCATCGCACAGCAGATGGATCGGCTGTTGTTGAGTCGACTCACAGGTCTCCTTGTTCCCCCCCTGGGCTGTTGAGTTGACCTGTAAACTCGCTTCTCCCCTCCCTTGCTCTCCACGTGTGCAGCTGCAGAGCAACGAGGACGTGGAGGGCAAGCTAGCGAGCATCGCACAGCAGATGGACCGGCTGCTGTTGAGTCGACTCGCAAGTCATTTCGTTCCCCCCCTGTGCTGTGGATTTCAACCGTGCAGCTGCAGAGCAACGAGGACGTGGAGGGCAAGCTGGCGAGCATCGCACAGCAGATGGACCGGCTGCTGCAGCGCTTGGAGCAGGTCGCACAGGCACGCAGCAGTGGCAGCAGCAAACCACCCGCCTCCAGCCTTGCCAGTCGAGCAGAGGGGCACGGCGGGCGCACGGCTGAGGGCGGTCCACAGGGACAGCAGGGCTCCAGTGGTGGTAGCGCGGTGCAGAATGGCTTGGTGTTTGTTCCGCTGGGGCAGGATGGCGACAAGAGTGCGAGGGAGGGTGGGGGCGGAGGGAGCGGGCTACAGAGGGATGTGAATGTTGTGGCGGAGCAACAGCGGCACATGACTCGCCAGGTGAGGGGTGTTGAGACAGCAGGTGAGGGGCGGTGGTGGCAGCGTGGTAGGTTGAGAACATTCCCGTTGTGATCACCCCCACCAGACACTCATTAGCTGCAGAGGGATGTGAGTGTGGAGGCGGAGCAACAGCGGCACATGACTCGCCAGGTGAGGGGTGTTGAGACAGCAGGTGAGGGGCGGTGGTGGCAGCGTGGTAGGTTGAGAACATTCCCGTTGTGATCACCCCCACCAGACACTCATTAGCTGCAGAGGGATGTGAGTGTGGAGGCGGAGCAGCAGCGGCACATGACTCGCCAGGTGAGCATGTGGTTGGCATCCAGTAGCTGTAATGAGATATTGCAACTTTTCCTGTAACTGAACTTCATTAAACCTTACACTTCAACCCTCCCCTTGTTTCCTTTCTCTTCGTCCCCCATACTTTCCCGTGGCTCACCTGACCACCTTCGTGCAGATTCAGTCCCTATGCACGCTGCTGCAAGAGGCACAGCAGCAGCAGTCGACCCCACCACGCACCTCATACTGGCCTGCAGCCTTCTCGTTTGCCAACCTCAGCAGCTCCAGCAGCAACACCAGCTACAACAGCACCACCAGCAACAGCAGCAGCAGTGCCAGCAGCAGCAGCAGCAGCACAGCAATGAGCCAGTGGGTGGGCTCGGCTCTTGTGGCGGTGGCGGTGGGGGCAGCTTCTTTTGCCGGCACTTCCATGCTGCTGGCTCGCAGGGCTGGCAGCTGACAGCCACTCTCCACTCCCACGTTTCTCATCTCTTGTTGGTCTTGTTGTGAGCACGGCACAGCATCGTGTGTTGCGATGCCACACCGCACCTCCCGTGGACCAACCACATTGTCAGCAGCACAGCAGCACCAGCAGCACCACCACCAGCACCGATAATAACAGGCGCACCGCCTAACCACCTCGAGCACCAGGGGAACCACTGGTCGCGGCAGGGGTCTAGCACACCTCTGCTTAACTCTTTTTGCCTTGGCAGTGGGGTGGGGACAAGTTTATTTGCTGGTTCATGTTAATGTGGCCTCACAGAGTTTACGGTATTGCGATAAGCAGGGCTGATTTTATCAGGGTAATTACCCTGATTTCAGGGTGATTTCAGACTTGTCACATTCTGGTCCCTGTAATTTCAGGTTTAACGTCTTCTGAACACTGATCTTGTCAGAGTAGTACTTTAGCGAACCCTGGAATTTTGTATACACTCACAGAGTAGTGTTCTTAAGGACCCTGTCCATACAGAGTATGCGTCTTGTTGACCCTGAATGCAACGTTATCGGGACGAAGCTTCCAGGAATCTTCGTCCCGATAACCCACATGTGCGTAATCATGATTACGCTTGCTCCCATCTCAGAGACTCCATTCGCGCTATCCAGGTTATCGCAGTACACTACGTTTCTGTTAGAATGACTAAACATTTGATTTCTGATTTTGGTTATCTGTAAACTTAAACCGAGAAAACAAATCACGATCTGGCGGATCGCAAAGTGATTCGGCAGGAGATAAAAGAAAACCATCCGTAGTGAAACACCGTATTGCCATGTGACTGATAGTTATTAGTAATCAGCTGTTTTTCACTAACTTTGGAAAAACATGTGTACATTAGAATAATTGTGAAACTAAACGAGACACTAACATTGAAAAACGTCCCCCCCCCCACAACCCCCCCCCACCAAAACCAGGTCGAGTCTCGACACCCCTCCCATGAGCAGTCCGTTCCCCCATTTCCTGCCCCCCGTCTCCCCCTTTTGTGCGGACGACCCGCGGTCACGAAATAGCCCCACCCCCACCCATCCCACTCACTTGCTCCCTCCCCCTTTGCACACCCCTCGCTCTCGCCCCTGCGCCCCTAGGAGATCCTCCCTCCCAAGCCACATGCACTCCCTCCAGCCAATCCGCCAATCCAGCTAGATTTCTCGCGTCAAACACGTCACTGCTTTTCTCGCCAAACTAGAAAGAAGTAAAAATTCAACCCTGAATTCAATCCGCCAACCCTGACAGCCCAGACTTACGATTTCGTGAACCCTGAACATCGCAAGAAGGCTCAGGCTTGGTGTTTTGCGGAAAATGAGCCGTCTCGTTTCCCCTCCGGTTTTGCGCATCGCCGACCCATCGAAACCGTTCAAAGTCATCACCGACGCCTCGGATTTCTCCATTAGAGCTGTACTCATCCAGGATTCCGGGAACCGGCTGCAGTCGATTGCCTATGAGTCACGCAAGCTGCAGTCAGCCGAGCGCAACTACCTCATACATGACAAGGAGATGCTCGCAATAATACACGCGTTCAAACTGTGGCGCTGCTATTCGACGGGCACCGACGTCACTGATCGCACAGACCAAAATGTCAGACATACATGACCTAGCCTATGTAGGCTGTAGCGAGGTAGACACTAAGGGGTACTCAATTCTAGGGTTTCACATTTGTATCACACACTTTCCTAGTTCATTCGTTCCTCTTTCTTCACATGGTATAGAGCGGGTTCCCTAGTGGGACCGTTTCTTCCTAAGGGCCCACCATTAAAAAAAAAAATCCTAACCTGCCCGAATCGCGCTTCGCGCTCTGACCTGCCCTACCCTTTCGCGGCCCCTTAGCGGTCTGCCCTGCTCCTGAGGCCCGTTGCGGCCCCCCCTTTGCGGCCCCTTCGCGGCCCCTTAGCGGCCCCTTCGCGGCCCCTTAGCGGCCCCCATTCGCGGCCCCTTAGCGGCCCCTTCGCGGCCCCTTCGCGGCCCCTTAGCGGCCCCTTCACGGCCCCTTCGCGGCCCCTTAGCGGCCCCTTCGCGGCCCCGTAGCGGCCCCTTCGCGGCCCCTTAGCGGCCCCTTCGCGGCCCCTTCGCGGCCCCGCCCCGTTGCCCGTAGCGGCCCCGCCCCGTCGCCAGTCGCGGCCCCGCCCCGTTGCCACCCGGGTGTCGCCCCTGCCTCGTCGCGACGCCTCAGCGGGACCCGCGCGTCGCCCCCGCCTCGTCGCGACGCCCCTGCGGGACCCGCGAGGCGCGGCTCCTGCGCGTCGCGACGCCCCAACGGGACCCGGGCGTCGCCCCCGCTCCTCGCGACGCCCCTGCGGGACCCGCGCGGCGTCGCCCCTGCCCGCCGCGGCGCCCTGCCCTAACCCGCGCCCGACTTGCAGCAGCCGCCCCTGGCCCCTGGAGCAGCCGCCCTTGCAGCAGCCGCCCCTGTAGCAGCCGACCCTGGCCCCTGGAGCAGCCGCTCCTGCAGCAGCCGCCCCTGGCCCCTAGAGCAGCCGCCCCTGCAGCAGCCGCCCCTGGCCACTGGAGCAGCCGCCCCTGCAGCAGCCGCCCCTGGCCCCTGGGGCAGCCGCCCCTGCAGCAGCCGCCCCTGGCCCCTGGAGCAGCCGCCCCTGCAGCAGCCGCCCTTGGCCCCTGGAGCAGCCGCCCCTGGAGCAGCCGCCCCTGCAGCTGCCGCGGAGCCCTCGCCCTGCAGTGGTAGCGGCCTCGCCATTGCCACCGTCGTACGCCTGCCCTTCTCGCCACTGGCGAGCACTGCCCTGCCCGTACTGCTGTTACTTCTGCTCCTGTTGCTACAGCTCTTTCTACTGCTATTGCTGCTCCTGGCGTGGCCAGATGCAGCTCCAGCGCCGTCCGCGTGAGTCCCTCACGCCCCAACAGCTTCGTGAGTGGTACGCTAGTTGGGGTTGTAGGGGTGGTCGCGCTGCTACTACTGCTACTGCTGCTACTGCTGCTCCTGGCGGTGGCCATATGCAGCTCCAGCGATGTCCGCGTGAGTCCCTCACGCCCCAGCAGCTTCGTGAGTGGTACGCTAGTTGGGGTTGTCGGGGTGGCCGTAGTGGGAGTCGTCCTAGAGTGAGTAGTTCGGGAGCTTCTTGTAGTGGCCAGGTGCAGCTGCAGCGTCGTCTGCGCGCGGTCCTTTCGCCCCAGCAGCTTCGTGAGTGGTACGCTCAGCGTGGAGGGTCACGGGATACTGCTCGCTGCCCGTACGTCATTCGCACTGGTGCTCGGACTGGTCAGCCTTGCGGGACGTTTGGTCACACAGAGTCCAGCTGCTGGTCGCCCGTCTGAGCGACGCCTGGCGTACAGAGTTTGGCGACGCGGCTGAGCTCCCCGACTGGGTGGAGCTGCTTAGGCAGAGGGTAGATATCTATGCTCTTGACTATGATGCTATCCTCACTGCCATGTATGCATTGCCTCCTAGTGCTGATGGTGCCTGTTACCTGTGTGGGCCGCCTGACCCCGGTATCCAGTCTGCTGCTCTAGGTACTGGTGAGGCTGCTGCTCTAGGTGCTGGTACGTCTCCTGCTTAAGGTGCTGGTGAGGCTGCTGCTCTAGGTGCTTGTGAGTCTACTACTCCAGGTGCTGGTGAGTCTGCTCTCTCCTGGTACTGCGCCTGCTGCGGTCTTACACACCTTCACCCTTGACTCGGGTGCTTCCCGCTCCTTCTTTCGAGACCGCACCACACTCACGCCGCTTAGTCGGCCGGTTGCAGTCTCCCTGGCAGACCCCTCAGGGGGTCCTGTACTTGCCCACTACTCCACTGTCCTACTGTGTCCGGCGGCCCCCTCTGGCTCCCTGTCAGGTCTTTACCTCCCCTCGTTCTCTACAAACTTGGTGAGTGGTGCTGACCTACAGGATGGAGGGGTTGACCAGTTCACTCCTGCGAGTCAGCGAGTGACCCACTGCACGTGTGCTCAAACGGGCCGACACTTGGCCACGTTTACCCGTCAGCCGGGGTCGAGCCTGTACACACTGACTACTGAGTCTCCTCCGGTTGCTGCGTCGGGTCAGGTGTTTGCTGCAGCGTCTCGGTCTGGTCCTGAGTCTGCCCCCTGCTCTTGTCGCCTCCTATCCCACCAGACCCTCCTCTGGCACCACCGCCTTGGTCACCCCTCCCTGCCTCGTCTCCGAGGCATGGCCTCACGTGTCCTTATCTCTGGTCTCCCCCGGTCCTTCCCTCCCCTTCCTCCGGGGCCTGCCCCTACCTGCGTTCCCTGCGTCGAGGGGCGGCAGCGCGCCGCTCCTCACTCCTCCGAGTTTCCTCCAACAAAGGCTCCGCTGCAGACTCTCCACATGGACGTGTGGGGCCCAACCCGCGTCTATGGACAGGGTCACAAGCGTTAATTCCTGCTGGTGGTTGACGACTTCTCGCGTTACACCTCAGTCTTCCCCTTGCGCCGCAAGGGTGAGGTCACTGAGGTGTTGATCGACTGGATCCGCGCTGCCCGTCTCCAGCTCAGAGAGAGTTTCGGCTCGGACTTTCATGTTCTGCGTCTGCACTCCGACCGAGGTGGAGAGTTTTCCTCCGACCTTCTGCGAGCCTTCTGTCGTGCGGAGGGCATCCGCCAGACGTTCACGCTTCCGGCCTCTCCACAGCACAATGGGATTGCTGAGCGCCGCATTGGCATGGTCATGGACGTCGCTCGTACGTCCATGATCTATGCGGCTGCTCCCCATTTTCTGTGGCCGTTCGCGGTTCAGTACGCGGCGCATCAGATCAACCTTCAGCCCCGGGTCTCCATGCCGGAGACCTCCCCTACTCTGCGGTGGACGGGGAAGGTTGGCGATGCGTCTGCGTTCTGTGTCTGGGGATCTCGAGCTTTCGTCCGCGACTTGTCTGCGGACAAGCTGTCCTCCCGTGCTGTTCCCTGCGTCTTCCTTGGCTTCCCCCCTGACGCGCCTGGTTGGCAGTTTTACCACCCCACCTCGCGCCGTGTTCTGTCCTCCCAGGACGTCACGTTTGACGAGTCGGTTCCGTACTACCGTCTCTTTCCCTACCGCGCTGCCCCCCTCCCCCCCCCGCCGCTCTTCCTCGCGCCAGGTCCCCCCCCGGTAGACCCCCTCCCCCCTCAGGGTCCTGCCCCTGTCAGAATGTTATCTTATGCTCTAGCCTGTAGTGGGGTGCTCTATAGCGAGTACAACCCTTCTAGGGTTTGCTATTTGTATCCTCATTCTTGCTAGTGCAATCCTCTTCTTCCTTTTAAACTTTAACATGCTATCAGAGCAGGTCGATCCCCTTGGATCGATCCTGTGGGTGGGCTTACCACCTCCTAGCTTCCGCTGCAACTCCTACCACTACACTCGGTGCCGCACGCCCCGTGGCGTGTGGCAGTTTTCTTCCCGCCGTGCGCCCCGAGGCGCGCGGCGGTTTTCTTCCCGCCGTGCGCCCCGAGGCGCGCGGCGGTTTTCTGCCCGCCGTGCGCCCCGAGGCGCGCGGCGGTTCTCTGCCCGCTGTGCGCCCCGAGGCGCGCGGCGGGCTTCGGCCCCGTCAACCGTCGCGTCGCCCTCGGGAGGCGCCGCGACGGGCGACGGGGACCCGTTCGTCGCCCCCCGTCACCCGTCGTGGCCTGCGCGCGGCCCGTACAGGCAGCGCGCGACCCGTACGGGCTGCGCCAGGCCCGCGCGCGACCCGTACGGGCTGCGCCAGGCCCGCGCGCCACCCGTACGGGCTGCGCCAGGCCCGCGCGCGGCCCGTACGGGCGGCGCCAGGCCCGCGCGCGGCTCAGGCCGCCTACGCGCGGTTCGGGCGACCCTACCAGGCCCGTGGTGAGCCCGCTCCTTGCTGCCCCTGCCCTCCCTACTGTCCCCCAGCGCTTCTACTCGTGCCCCATCCCTCCTACTCCCCATTCTCCTGTATTAGGGTTTGGGGGTGCGGGGTATGGGGGTGCACCCACTGTGTACTGTTCCCTGCTCCTCCTCCTCCTCCGTCTCCCTGTGCTGCAGCTGCCGCTGAGGGGGGGTGGACGTGTTGGAGCCGGTGGAGTGGTACTAAGGGGGGGTGAAGGGGGAGTGGAGCTAGCGGTGTAGCAGCGGGTATGTGCCAGGGGGGAGTGGGATAGTTTGGGGAAGCTGAATGGAGGTTGCCGTCGTGTCGCCAGCAGCACCTGTATTCCGGGGACTTCGTCCGGTAGCCCAGTCGTAGCCAGCTGTGCCAGCCGCCCGTG